TCATGCTTTTTAGATTGTGTACTAAGGGCAGCGACTTCTCATACTCTATGTTTGCAGAAGTCCACTTTGGGATACTTTTGTGCCTGATGAGTGGAATAAAAAGGCAATGTTCATGTAGGGAAGAAAGTAGGTTGTTTTCTGCCAGCACGCATGGGTGGCACAAACCAGTAATTCAACCGGAGACCTCATGTTCCCAGTTTTTCAGTTGTTAATATTTCTCTGCCTTGGCGTATTGGAAGGCCTTCAAACAATGCATTAGGGCCATGCAGAGAACATTTCTCCCCAGTGGTTTATCATTTCTCTCTCCTCTCCTTGCTCCCCAAAGGGAACCAAGTGCATGGTGAATGCGGAGAAAGTTTCAGGTTGGCAGGATTCGATGGAAGAGGGGAGTATATTTATGTCGGTTTTCAAAGCTTTGCCAATCCCACAAGCTTCCGAGTACCAATACACAAAACAGGGGAGATATGGGAATGATTAGCTAGCTAAACCTCCCCAATGTTAAAACCCATTTATGGGCATCACCCCCAAATCACAAGCCTTCAACAGTCCTGCCACAAGATGCTCAAGCTCAAACTTCAGTGAATCTCCCCGAGTTCCACAGTTGCAGTGGTGGCTGGTGCCCATTGGGCTTGGAGGGTGAGGTGACAGAAAGCTCAGCCCAACAAGAGGCGGAGACAGAGCCTATGAGAGAGGTGGAGCTAACTCATTCAGGTTTTGCCTCACCCTCCTCCCTGTTGAGTTCTACAAGGGCAACACTGAGACTAAGGAGGAGGAAGTTGGCAATTAGGGTCATCCTCTGGACTGGTTGTCAGAGTGCTCCTCTGCTAAGGACAGCATAAGACCTTTCACTACCTGAGGTAGAGGACAAATGGCTCTTCCTGGCCATTTTGTGCACTGGACTGACAGTAGAATCTTATTTCAGTACTAATGGTGGGATGCTGCCCTCCACTATATCAGAGGCAGCAAACTAGTTTAGGTTGCCATGTAGGATTAGGGATGTGGTGGCGGTGGTGGAATCTGTCTATTTCAGTTTTGCTAAGTATCCCATTTTTTTCACGCATTCAGTTCTTCACATTTCCACATCAGTTTGTAAGTTTTCTTTTTCTTAAATCCTCCTGAAAATCCACCAGCATTTTAATGCAAATTTCTCCTAATATACACATTTTTTTGTATGCTATCTTGCCTAATAGACATGTTTCCCCTCATATAACCCATTTTTGTATGGTATTTTCATGACACAAATGTCTGCATTTTTATGCATGTACACACGACTTGGCCACAAACCCAGACTCCAAAATTCAGAGAAGTGCAAATTTCAAACACTGGCCATGTTTTGATTCACATACAGTGGTACCTCTGGATGCAAACGGGATCTGTTCCAGAGCCCTGTTCACATCCTGAAGCGAATGCAATCCGCGTCTGCGCGTGCGTGGGTCGTGATTTGCCGCTTCTGCGCATGCGCGTGACGTCATTTTGAGCGTCTGCTCATGCGCGAGCAGCAAAACCTGAAAGTAACACTTTCCGTTACTTCTGGGTCACCGCGGAGCGCAACCCAAAAATGCTCCACCTGAAGCAACTTCAACCCAAGCTATGACTGTGTTGTTTTGGAAAGTATGCTTTATGTATGTTCACCCTTAAATGCAAACTGAATCAAATTTCTCCTCCCACCCATCCCTTTGCAGGACCCACAACTGTGGTGGTGTGCAGGTGCAGGGAGTCTTGGAAAGAACAACTAAGGGGGTGCGACTGCTGCCCCATCTCCAGCATCTGCTTCCTGAGGCCGTCACCTCACTTTACCTAATGATAGATCCAGCCTGCTCTCTGCTGGCACAATGCAACCCCTTGGTGCAACCCCCCCCCCCGAAAAAAATTGCCTTTATCCACCCCTGGATAAAAGCTGTGGTTAAGTTGCAATTGAACCAAAGTGGCATGCCGTGCATTTAACATTCCTACACAGCTCCCGGAACAAAACCAGCAAAAGCAGACCGTTATTTCTCCTGGAGGTAAATTATGATTTCAACAGGCTGAAATTACAGCCCATGTTGTGCATAAATTGGGGAGTGGGGGGGACCTTGGCAGCCCAAACTGACATTCAGAGGGCAGTGGGAGGGGGCGGGGAGGCAAAACATGTCAAGTTGTCTTCAGCCAAGAGGCCAGTTTTTGTTGTGGTTTTATCTGCCAGCCAAGAAGGAACTTCTATCTATTCTGCACAGTGCCAGGGGCTGGAGTGGGTGAGGTTTGGAAGCCTGGGCGAGGCGAAGGCCACCCTTCTGCAGTTTCATCTTCTGCTAACGTCACGTCAGAAGGGGCTTCTCCCCTGCACTTGACAAAGCCCTTTTGTGAGTCTGTGTCTCAGTCGATAGCTGCCATCAGCATGGCAGGAGACCTCTGTATCCGGAGGATATTGATCACTTAGCCTCGCCAGTTGCTCCTTGGCGCAGTGATAGTGGATGTGTAGGGAATCCTCCCTTCTCCCCTCCACACCACCACCAAGGCAGGAGGGGAGGGAGAGAAATGCCATTCAGTTTGCACTGAAAAGTAAGCCTTCCTAATCAACGTATGCTAAAGTGTGCTGAAAAGTGCATCTATTAGTGTAAATAATGTCCTAAAATGTGGTCAGAGGCAGTCATGCTTCTGAATACCAGTTGCTGGAAACCACAGGATGAAAGAGTGCTCTTGTGGTCGTGTCCTGCTTGCAGGCTTCCCATTGAGGCACCTGGTTGTGCCACTGTGAGAACAGGATGCTGACCCAGATGGGCCATTGGCCTGATCCAGTTGCAGGGCTCTTTTTACGTTCTTATGCTTTGTATTAGGAGAAACTGCTCTGCAAGATTGTAAATACTAGGCAAAATTGCGGACAAAATGTGTATATTAGAGGTTTGCAGCAAAATGATCATGGATTTTCATGAGGACTTGGGGGGGAATCACACGCTGATGTGGAAATCTGGGAAACTGAACTTAAGATGGGGAAAGTGAGAAATGCAAAGAAAACATTGTTAACAGATACACCCATCTTTCATGTGTGCATATCAGAGCAGTGTAGGTTGGGGAAGCAGGGATGTTATGTGACCCAAAGAGCCCTGGCTCAAAAGATCAGCCCATTCGGGTCAGATCTCTGTGAAGTAACACTTCCCCACCACCACCACTCTGCTGGGTTTCATCTTATTCAGACCAGCATAACAATAGCATAATAAATGATCAAAAGTCGGCATGAGCTTCCTATTTTTCATTTTTCACTTTTCTGACTTAACTCTCATGGAAAACTGCCTTATAAAAGGTCGGAATACTTGCCCATGTTTCTAGCTATCCTCCTGTAGTCTAGCACAAGGTTTGGGCATCTTTTTTAACCCCAAGGGCCGCATTCCTTTGTGGGGAGCCTTCTGAGGGCCGCATGTTAGTGGTGGGTGGGGCTAGAGGCAAAAGGGGATGGGGTGATGGATGCGACTCTTACCTTTGTACAATAGGCTACACTCCAGCCATGCAAAAGCCAGAGGTTCCTACACCTGCCCACAACTTTCCAGTCCTCTACTTAGGCAAGGAAGAGGTACGACTGTGACTCAAGTGGAAGAGCCATGGCTAAGTGGCAAAGCATGCAGAAGATCCTGAGTTCAATCTCCAGTAGCTCCAGATAGAGTTGGGCCTGAAGAGTCCCCAGCTGTTGTTGGACTACAACTCCCATCATCCCTAGCTAGCAGGAGCAGTGGTCAGGGATGATGGGCATTGTAGTCCAACAACAGCTGGGGACCCAAGTTTGAGAAATGCAGGCACTGCAGATAATACTGAGCCAGCTGGACCAATGGGCTGACTCAGTGGAAGGTAGCTTCCTATGTACCTCACACAGCAGCTTGACTTGCAGGCATTAGAGGTGACATTTATCTCCATGTGGCTTCTGAAAATGAAATGCTCATCAAAGGCTTGGGGGCAGGCCAGGCCGGTTCCTCTTTGATTAGCTGGCAACGCTGTTTACTCTTAAGGGCTTGTTCACAACTGGAAAAGTGTAGGGCAGGGGGGCAATAATTAAGCCTGTCAGTGTTCTGGCTTGGCACATAAAGGTGCTCACTGTTTTGACACCAGCGGGAGAACCAATTTGATTGACAGGCCTTTTGAGTGATGCATGTGGTCAACATCTCCTGTCGACACCCAAATTCCTGCCAGGAGTGTCAGCAGCCCAGCAGTGGCACCAGCAGTTTGATCCTGATAGCAAGGCCTGGATCGGAGAAGATATCTTTCTTCACAAGGAGACACCTGATAACTCCTGAGTGGGGGAGCCGTGAATAAGTTATCCATCTCCTTGCTGAGGGAGATAAATGTCATATCAGGCCGAAGCCATCATCTGTGCGTAGTGGCAATTCAAGCCGCTGCCTGGCATTCCCTATCAGCTCTCCGTGGACCAGGCGACGCGAGCTGTGCTGAGGCTCCCAGACAAAAGCTTTGTTTCTGCCTTTTCAGTGGGCAATGTGCAGGAAATGTCATCTGTCTCTTCGCAGATGGGGAGCCAGCAACCTTCCTTCACCTGACCTTGCAGCCTGCCTCCGTAATGGGATGAAAAGAGAGGTCCCTAAAGGGTAGCACCGTGTGAGCTCACTGGGTAAAAAAACACAAAACCCTGCAGGATCAAAATACGGGCCCTGATTCTCTAGCCTTGTGCCTGGTCTGGTTTGTTTCAACAAGGCCTGAGCCTCAGTTCTTGAAGCCTTAATCTCTGGTGACTGGCACATGCGGACTCAGATATTTTTAATACATTGCCATAGCTGCCATTACGTGTTGATGGCTCAGGGTGGATGGGAGGAGCCACAGCTTAGCAGCAGAACACCTCCTTTGCATGCAGAAGGTCCCAGGTCCAATCACCAGCATCTCCGGGCTGGGAAATATTCCCTATCTGAAACCCTGGAGAACTGCTGCCAGTCAGTGCAGACAATACTGAGCTAGATGGACTCAGTACAGTGAAGTGCAACTCGTACAGCATGTCGGCGACAAATATTCACACAGTTGTTCAAAAATAATTTTACACCATTTATCAAATATGTGAGAAAGAGACAATTACTTACAAAGTGCCATGAAAACTTACAAACTACCTAAAATAAAGTGAACTTGCAGTATCAGATTTTACTAGGTTCTTACAAATTATTGACTCAGTTTTTTGTTTTTTCTTGTTTTTTTAAATAAGTTCAAGAAGATTCAAGAAAAGGGTAAGTTCAGCGTTGTTCCCGGTAGCTGTGAGGTGCTGATGAAGCAGTGTATGAAGTAATAAAGAAGACAGGGTGCCAGCGTTCTGTGGGATGTAAAACGCAGGAGCAGTCAATGACAACATTCCTAGAGTGTATACGTTAGAACATGGGGAGGGATGTCTGTCTAGCAAGCAGGTAAACTTCCTGGGGACAGACTTCCTCCGCATGTGACCAGAGGTGGGTGTGGCCTCACCTGTGCAGGTAAATGATAAAAGCACAGGGCAGGCAGCCATATCTCTCTCTCTCTCATCTTCATCTTCTGAAGGCACAACATGCCCTCTTAGCTCTCAGCCAAGAGAGGACTAAGGGACTATCTTCCATAAGATAGATTCTGAGTGTATTTTACCTTTTTAAGTCTGTCTGCCTTCTGGGATCACATTGTGAACAGAACGTGAGTAAACTCTTTTATACTTTTATAAAGACTGTGTTGTGTCTTGTATTTTAAGAGGGAACAAAGGGGAAATTACCAGAGTAATTATTACAGAGGTTCTAGCGAACCTGTGCAAGCGTTACTGTTGCGAACTTAAAGGGGAATGTCTATAAACTCTGCTGATATTTTGGGAACTTGTTAGCACAAGTTGGATTAGGATATAATCCTATAATATATCCTCTCCTGCACCTCAGAACATTCCCACACGTTCTACCCCCATTTCGCCCTAGCAGTCCATGCAGTTGAGAGGCTGCTGTTCGCCCCCGGTAGCGCCAATTTGTTGGGGTTGGCAGATAGCACACTCCCTGAGCACAGTTTTCTGGCCTTCTTCAGTTGTGCCATTGATGCGTCTACTAGTGCTAACTGATAATAATCCAAACGGAATCTTATCAGAATCAACATAATACACTTCTAGGTGTTCAATTAAATACAAAGTAAATATAAATTCTCCCACTATATACAAAGAATCCATTTTGATGCAAAAGTTCATAATTATGTACTTACATATCTTTGAAGAGACAATTTCTTGACTTAAGCATACAAGACTGAATAGCTTAGCAAGGTAGCCCTGTTTGATTACAGATATATATACACATTCTCTCATTATAGGTTTTTCAACAGGTGTTTTACATTAGTAGAGAGGTGAGGAGGTGGAGTAGAGGATGGACATAATACTATTAATACTTACATCTCATACATTCTGCATCCAGATACACATTTCAATGCCCATTGCTGTAATTAAATGAAAACTGAAAGATCAAATTTGGAATTTAATCATACTGGCTGGAATGTTTTAAATAAAAATATTAATCGTGCTTCTTGTTGTTTTAATATTTTTTGATGTCCTGTTTGCTATATTTCCTAGGAACAAATCGCCAGATCCCAAAGAACAATAAGTCGGTGTCACTGTGTGTGTTTTTTAGCATTTTTCTAGCACCAGTATAGTGAAAGGCTGCATCTCAGTGGTAGGGTGTCTCCTTTGCAAGCAGAAGGTTCCAGGTTCAATCCCTGGCATCTTCAGGTAGGGCTAGGAGAGACACCCTGTCTGGAACACCAGAGAGTCTTTCTATGGCCACCCACTTATTCTAATAAGCAGGGTCTGGCCAGAACATAAGGAGTTGACTGAGCACGTGCTGCAGCTGCCTCTCTCTTGTCTCTCTTCCACATCATGTGGTCACCAAGGGAGGATGCTCTTTTGCCACTGCCTCCTAACCTGTTGCCATCTCAGTCTCCCTCAGTCTGGACTTGCCATTCACTGGTGATCTGGTGCAAGGTAGCAGGTGTGTTGCCTGACTGGAGCTGCTCCTCTCCTCCTTGCCTCCACTTAAACTCTATTTTTGTTTTTTAAAAAAAGCTTTTTAAAAATCAAAATATTACAAATAAAAAGCACCCCAAGTTTCCAGTACTTTGTCTCCCAACAGATACAATCTGGACCTCACTGCTTTAAAAAGTGGGCATAGTGTGACAATGCTTTTTGATCTCTCCAGCCCAAGGAATAAAAATCAGCAGCAGCATTTGTCTGGCCACAAAAGAGAGGTCCCAGATATTAGGGTTTTTTTATGCCACACATGGGTATTTGGTTTTCTTTGCAGTGCTGCAGGCAGCATGCCTCTGAGCCCATAGATAATGCTTTTCTCAAACTACAGTCCTAGACTACTTAATCCAGCTAAGTTGAGGCATTTAGCCACAATGGTTATGTTTCCATTCCCCTGTTGGAGACTGTCCCAGTTCCTGGGAATCTCCAGTGGGGAGAGCACTGTTCCACTCAAGTCTTGCTTGTGGGGGCCTTCCCATGGGCATCTGGTTGGCCACTGTGAGAACAGGATGCTCACCTAGATGTTGTCATGTTTTGGGCTACAGAGGCTCGATAGGACGGGGCTTCTGTCTATGCAGTAACTCAGGCTTGGAGATTTTCAGTACTTTCTTTTTGTAAACCACTTTGAGTGTATTTTACAATCGGCATATAAATTTTACAAAATAAAAATAAAATAACTTTTAAAGAGAGTTAAAAGTGGTGTGTCAAGGCCAGCCCTTCCCACTGGAGCAAAAACACATGTTTCTTTCCTTCCACTGTTACCTCTGCTCAGATAGACTTTTGAAACAAGATTTAAAAACCTGTATGACCTGTTTCACAGAGGCAAATATTGGGCGAGTGTCTGCACAAGGAACCATCCTTTAATACAATTAATACTCCATTCTCTGGCTATTTCGACATGTGGATATGTAGCCTTTTATGACAACCAATGAAATGTGCCAAAACCAAACACTGAGAGTTCTGGTAGGCACAAAAGCTCCTCAAGGAGTAAACAGGGTTAACTGCAATATTCAACCTGAGTTTATAAGGTGAAGGGAGGGAGGGAGGGAGGGAGGGAGGGAGGGAGGGAGGGAGGGAGGGAAGGAGGGAGGAAGGAAGGAAGGAAGGAAGGTAGGAAGGAAGGAAGATGCAAGCTGGTAAAAGCTTCCTGGTCAATACAATCTTCTGCTTCTTTCCTCAGTCCCACACAGAGATGACCCACACAGAGTGAAGCAACAGCCTCAGGTGGAAGACACAGATATGGCCCCTGAGTCATTCCCCACTTTTGGAGATCAGTGCTGTGAATGTCACACAACCTGTCATGCACCCCATAAAGTAATGGGTTCAGCCTTCACAGTGGATGATGTGTTGCTTCCACTGCTGGTCCAGTCAGCTTCTGCACTCCCATCAGCCTCAGCAGCAGACAGTTATTTTGGCCTATGGCCTGTTTTGACAGTTACCCTGCCTATGGGACTTCTGGTCCTAAACATCTGGAGGGCGCCAGGATGGAGCAGGCTGCTCCCCTCCAGTGACCCTTTGGTGGGCCTTATGATCTCTCAGAACCCTAATGGACCTGGGCAGCTCTACTTAGGAGGGCTTTTTTTATAATTCTGGGAGGGAAACGGGCATAAAGTTGACCTAGCGATTTCCACGAGGGAACACAGTTCCTGGATCCCTGCTTCGGAAGGAGGAAGCCTCTTGAGATGCCGGTGGCACTTACTCCCGAGTAGGCAGGCGCTGGAGCTGCGCGGGAAGGCAAGTAAAGGGCAGCAGCAGCCGCCCAGCCTCCTTCTCAGCGAAGCCCGGGAAGGCAAAGTGGCGGAGGCGCGATTCCATCCGGCGCGCAGAGAAGAGGGAGGCTGGGAAGGAGCCGGAGTCGGTGGGAGAAGCCGGCGTCGGTTCGCGCCTCCTGGCCAGGCTGCTGCCGGGCTGGACTTGCTGCAGCAGCGGTAGGGGTGGAGCGCCCCCTGCCGGGAGCCGCGCGAAGCCCGTCGCCGCAGCAGCAGCAGCAGGCAAGGCGCCGCCGCTGCCAGGCGCTGCATCCAACGCGGCGCGTCCGGCAGGGCTGGGCTCCATCAGAGCGGGAGCAGCAGCAGCAGCGAGCGGAGGCAGGAAGGCGGGCTGGGGGGCCGCCGCCGCCGCCTCTCCCAGGAGCCCGCCCGCCGCCTGCCCGGCTTGCTGGAGCCGAGAAGCAGCCCGACCCGCCAAGGCAGAGCCGCCTGCCATGTCCCGGGGAGCCCGAGCGCCGCCGCCGCCGCGCAAGAGAAGCCCGGAGCCGCTGGCCAGGCTTTGAGGGAGACCGGGAGCCTTAGGCGGAGAGCGAGCGGCTCCCCGCGACGCGCTCTGCTAGGCGAGCGCCCGCCGCCCTCGTGCCCAGCTGAGCCACCCTCGCGGCTCGTCCTCCTGCGAGGGGGCGGACGACGCTCCGAGGATTCCCTGCCCGGGAGGTGGCGGAGCCCTCGGGAAGGATAGAGGGGCGCCGAGCTGCGTTGTTGGACGGCGGCGAGCGAGAGCCGAGCGGCGGAGAGGGCATTGGGGGGGGCGGGGTGTCCCTCGCCAGATGGCACACCGAAGGGGCGAGCGGAGGAGGCGGAGGCGGCTGCAGTAGCTGGAAGGCAGCTCAGGGAAGAGGAGGAGGGAAAAGGCGACGAAGACGGCGAGGGAGCAGCGCCTGGCCACTCGCCCGCCGTCGAGGAAGGGACCCAGCTGATCCCTCGCTGCGCACTGCCCCACCTGGGACCCGGCGCGGCTGGCTTCATCCCATGGCCCCGACTCAGCGCCAGGCCTGAAGGGGCAGCGAGAATGAGGCCACGTCCAGCGGCGGCCAGGCTTCTGCCCGGGCAAGCGGAGGGCGGCGGCCGCGGCGACAGCAGCAGCCGGTGAGCGGAGAGCCCGGCGCCCGGCGTGGGGAGCGCCATTTACCAAAGAGCCGGAGAGTAGGCGCGCTAGCCAAGCGCCGACGCCCGCTTTCCTCCGACGCCGCTTCTGGGTCGGGAGCCACGCTTGGAGGGGCTCCGGAAAAGAGACGGACAGCTCCTCTCCCAAGGCAGGCGGGCGGAAGGGACCGCTAGGCAAGGCGCGCCGCTGGGACGTCGAGGGGCGCATCGGGCACCGCCAGGACTCGGATCGCACCTGCTCAGGCCGTCCCCTCGCCCCAGTCGATGAGCCTCTTGGGGGCCCGGGAACCCCGTTTGGATTAACTGGTTCCCCTCCCTCTCTTTTTTCCCGTCTTTCTTTCTCCCCATCCCCTTTTTTTGGGTTCTCCGGGAACTGTCCGACGCCTGGCCACCTTCCTCGACTTCTCCTGGGACTATTACCTCACCTCACCTCGCCACCGACCTCAGGACTGTAAGTTCCGCTCCGTTCTCTTTTACAGAGCTTACTAGCCTTCCGGCTGTAGGGATGCGATGGGATGTGGAGGGAACAGAGCGATTTGCGGGTGGGAGGTCGGTTAAGTTGCCTGATCCGAAGAAATGTCGTCGAGAGGGGACCCCCCCCCAGCACGCACTCGCGTCTTCTCTTTCTCTTGCCTTTGTTATTTTGACCTTTTGGTGAAGTTTTTGCGGTTGGAGGAGAGGGAGACGGGCATCCCTTGGCCTCTGGGTGTCCCAGCTGTGTTCCCCCCGTCTCGCACTCCCCGGGCATGCTTGTCGCGGTGGTTTCTTTGAACTGTCCCAAAAGATGAAGAGGTCCACTGCGCTCCTCCTCTGTCCGGATCTCAACCGGGCAAGAGGGGCGCAAACCAGCAAAAAACAAAACCCGGGCTTGATCCACCACCCGTTATCCTACCACTTCCAAACAAAGGCGAAGGGTGGAGCGGGGGGGGGGAGAGATATATGAGAGAGAGAGAGAGAGAGAGAGAGAGAGAGAGAGAGAGAGAGAGAGATGTGGCCAGATGTGTGCCCCTGAACCGCCCTGCCGTTCGCCAAATACTCCACACCGATTTCCCCGAGGGTTGGCTATGGGGTCTCCTGAATGCACTGTGGGGAAGGGGCTGCGTGGACACGGGACGGCAGAACAGCCTGACTGGGCTTGGGAAGCCGCGCGCGCCTGGTTCCCCTGACCTAGTGATGGTTCCTATACCTTGTCTCTCGATGTACCCCCAAAATTACTGTAGTTGCTGCTGGGGCTGTTTTCTGAAGAAAAGACAGTGTCTTACTTTTGTGGTCCTCGCTCGCTCTGCTATAGACCCAGCGGCTGCCCAAGTGACAGCCGCTTCAGCGCAGCCAAGGCGAGAAGCTGATATGGTCCCTGTCGAGGGTCGGTGGAAGCTCCCGACACTTGACCGCTCCGCAGCTCCGTCGCCTTGCAAGAGGAACCCCAAAGACCCCTTTCTTTGCACCCAGACGGAGAGAGGTTTAAGTGTTCCGAAGAAGGGGGGTTCCGGTCCCATTGCAGGAAGCTCCCTTCTGCCCCGTCTAAGGACGCCTTTGTTTGATCCCTTGTGTTAAGTGCTCCGCAGACATCACCATCCTCTTCAATTTAGCGGGATAGTTAATTCCTTAGAGGAAATGTCCAAGTGCAGAATGTGCGTGTGTGTTTTGTGGGGGAAGGCAGATAGAGTTTCTTAGGGACATTAATTGGCGTGGTTGGAAGGGTGAGTGGATGGAGCCTGACCCAGACCTGCCTGGTGCCTCTTTCCTCTTGCACTAGTTGGATGACATTAACTTGTGCGATTTGGCAACTCAAACCTTCTGTAGGGAAAGGAAAGCTGGAGGTGGACGAGCCAGGAGTGAGCAGCTTTGAAATTGTGGGGTGCAGTTTTCATAGAACCTCCGATGTGGTTTTTAGGGAGTCTTGCTGAGAACCATCGGGCAGAGGACAGAATGGCAGGAAACCCAAATGAGCCACTAATTAGCATGGGCCACCAAAGCCACTCGGACATTGTTTTGTGTGAACCTTGTGCAAGGAAGACGAACAACTCTTGCCTCACTTTTCCCACCCGCCTGGTTACAAGTTGCCTGAGGAGCTTCTTATCTAAGTTGAGTCCAGACAGTGTAATTTTTAGGAAATGATCATTGCACACTTCAAATAAGTATCCTGGCTGAGTAATCATCCATGCGCTAGGGTTTTGTCTTGTTTGGTTTTTTAAAAAAAAACCACATACACACACTGCCAGGCCTGGGAAGATATCTAACAGACCCCGATTTACACCTGATTTATTTTTTCCGCATTGCCAGACTTGCTCGCAGCTTCAGACCTTGAGCCCATGAACATAAATCAAAGAAATGTCCCTGAGCATATGCAGAGAGGTTTGCATCCTCATAATGGGCAAGGCCTAAGTAACTCCCAGGCCCAGTGCAGGGTGCAGAACTTCCAGCCCAGAAAATGTGACTTCCAGAGTCTTAAAATCCCAATTCTTTCCATATTAGAAATTAGGCGCAAAGTGTGTGTGAATAGGAAGGGGGTTGTCTGTGGGGCAGGACTGCAGAATGTGAGCAAATGAACCTCCATGATTATGACTTCGCTAAATTAATAAATCATTGTGCTTAAGGAAGTGGGCTGGAAGGGAGTCCCTCCCTTCATTCACCACCGTCAAGCTCAATACTATTTAGAAATTATATTTCACAACCCCATAATCCCATATGAGTGAGTTGGCTGTGATTGCTGCACTGGGAAAGGGGTTTTTCACTTTGCACATGCTCAGAGGTATTGTCTTCTTTGTTGTGGCTACCCCCATCCCTGGGCTCAGTCTTGTAACTGAAAATAAATTCTGGGACAAAGGAGTTGTGAGCCCAGCAAAACAACTTAGGTTGCAAGCTACAAATCTGGACTCTGCATCTGTGTCATGAACCACTCTAGATTAAATCCTTTGCAGTCTCGGTAAATTAGCTACACATCTGTTTGTGAGGCTGGGGTTGGTGTTTTTCTTTTTGTTTTGTTTTTTTCCAAATCTCCAGTTCCAGATATTTTTGCCCTTCTAAAGAACAAAGGGAGTAGATTTCATCTACCACCCCACAAACCCACAAGCACTCTAAGCAAAACGCTGCCTTTCTATTCAAGGGTCGTGGAAAACCCAGGGGGACACACCATCTCTGGGACACTCTCCCATGCAACTCCTGTAGGAACGAATTGGAGGGATTTGGACCAGTCCCAGATGGATAAGGAGGCAAAGCTCTCTTGCTGGGATTTTGAAGTGTCAGTTATAATGAGCAGACTGCACCCTCCTAACCCTATTTGAGATATTCACAGACCTCAATCTGGAGAAGGTTAAGTCAACCATGGTGAATTTATCCCATTTATTTCAATGGGAAATGTGGGGAAAACAAACAAACAAGCAAACAACACTTATTTTTTTGAGTAGCACTACTAACTTTCCTGGGGAGCCGAGCATCACCGTGTCAGTTTTGCCAATGTGGGCTGAATCTTGGCATTCCAAATATATGATGGCTATATATTGCAAGCTGTGGTGGTCCCAGAAGAGCATTGGGGATGAGAGCTGATTACCCTCCAAGTGGGTAAAGGACATTATTCACTGTGATGCAGCTTCCATGAGAACACAGGGGCAACATGGATTGCTTTTCAATTCATTGCTCAAAAATGGCTCATATGTTAATTAGCTCAGAAGATAGACTTTTTTTTTACTCAGCAACCACACTCTGCAAATGAGTCAAGCGGCAGCATTCTTGGCTAAGCTGGGTGGCAGCAGCTAAGACTGGGAAGAAAATGTGGGAAGCCTAAATCAAGGGCAGTCAGCATGTGGGCTGCATCAAGCTCATGAAGCCAGTTCCAGTGGCCTACCAGCCCTCTCCCAAAATCAGGCACCTTTTCCTCTCACCCTCATGCCATACTGACAAAGGTGCCTCTTCTCCCTCTGGTGCAATTGCAATGCCATTGCTAGAAGGTCTTAGCGCTCAAGGAAACAGGAAGGAGAGATCCTTCCTGTTTCCTGAGCATAAAGACCTTCTAGCAATGGTATCGTGCCAAATGGAGAAGAGGAGACTTTGGAAGGTAAGTCAAGGGCTGTGCTTTCCATTGCTGGGCTAGGTTGGGCTGGGTACAGAAATTCCTTAAATTTTACAGGTTTAGATGGAATCACTGTACAATACAAGGATTTGTTGTTTTCAGACCCTCCAAGTGTCCCTATTTTCCAGGGACATCCCTGATTTAGAGAAGCCATCCCAGTTTTTTATTTGATCCCAGAATGTCCCACTTTTCCTTAGGATGTCCCTATTTTCGCTGGAGAAATGTTGGAAAATATGGAGTTATCCAACCCCTAAGCCATCTGAAGGCAATCCTGTATAGGGAAGTTTTCTAAATGTTTAATATTTTATTATGCATTTATATATGTTGGAAGCCGCCCAGAGTGGTTGGGGCATCCCAGTCAGATGCATAAATAGTAAAATGATAATTATGGAATGGGACGTCCCTATTTTCATCAGAGAAATGTTGGAGGGTATGTGTTTTAGGAGTATTTGGGGGGGGTGACTTTTCTCTTCATTCCCTGGGAAAAGCCACATCAATGGTCATTTTGTGTGCATGGAGTTACACGTGTTAAAGGATTCTGTGATGCCTGACAGCTGGCAAGCAGGTCAAGCATAGTTATGAACCGCCTAGACCTGAGATGCAGGACCACAGGGTGTGCAAACAGGGAAAATCTTCGCGCAAAAGTGTGCGCTGTTCTGCATGATGATGAAAATGCATCTTGAGAGACAACCTACTAGAACTCTGGAAGAGGCACATGCATTGGACTTGCTGAAGGGGGCATCCTCTGTTGAGGAGATGGTGCCCAGGATGGCTATGCGCTGCAGCAGTGGGTAGGAACAGGTGGTGGTTGGGCTCTGCCGAGGAGAGGAAACCTTTTCAGCTTGAGGACCACATACCTTTCTTGGTAACCTTCCATGGGTCACTTGTAAGTGGTGGGAGGGGCCAGAGGTAAAGTGGGTGGAGCAATGAGTGACAATGTTACCTCTGCTTGTTTCTATACTCACTCGCCGCTCTGCAGGGAAGCAAGAAGCATGATCTGTGTTCAAGGATACATTCCAGCCAGGCAAAAACACTCAAGGAAGGTGTGAAGCAGGGTTGGGGAGGCTGTGGCCTAGAGAGAGTTCTGAGGGCAAGATGGAAAGGCAGCCACATTTGGCCCCCAAGTCTAAGGTTCTCCATTCCTATGCTCTGCTCTCATATCCTTTCATCCCTCACCATAAAAATAAGCATCCTGTTCCCCTCTGTTGAGTGTTGGAGGATAAGCAGCAAGTGCTGTGGGCTGTGCAGAAAGGTGTCTTGCACTGGTCCATGCCAAGCAGGCCCATAACACTTTGGCTGACCCCAAAGTTATAGGCCTGCCTTTCCGTTGCAAATAGTATGTGAATGTGTACCAGTCCAGAACTGGGTGGAATGGACTCTAG